AGTTTAGCTGTACTCATTGGAATGTTCTTCCTAAGTGGAGCTGCGCCTTTCTTATTCAAATATGTTCAACTAAAGTTTGGAATCACGCCAATGATGGTCACCAAAGGAATTGGWGTCCCGAGTGTGGTCCTCACTCTCGGTAGGTTAGCCTCCTTTGCAGACGTTATTAGCATCGGTCATACGTTCCCTCTCAACTAGAAAATGTATGATGGATACTATTAACGTCTGCAAAGGAGGCTATCGGTAGCTTTGATTTAGGGAAAAACACCGTAAAGAACGATGAATTGTTAAAAAAGATAAATTTTTATTGAGGACATATTTGATTAAAATATGAGTTGGTAGGATAAGCGAGCACACGGAGATGACCTTACTGGGAATCAGATTCGGACATCTCCAAATTTTCTAAGTATTTCCCAAAGCCCTCTTGTCCCATTGCTAATTGAGATGTATAATAAGTGTCAATTATGTGAATTCTTTGGTGAGATTTTCTAAGGAACGGCATTTCTCTTTTCATTTCTTTTACTCCCTTGATTGATTTGATGCATGGAGACATTTTACCATCGAACATTACTTGATGATTCAATAATATCGTTTTATTTATTGATAGTTGGCATTATTGGTGGGAGTTTTCTGGTGCGCCGTTTCCACTTGAATGAGATGTGCCATCGGTCAGCAAAAGTGTGCATGATTCTTTCTCTCGTCGCTTTAATTTCGACACCTACTTTTTTCATCCCTGGTTGTCGGACATTAGAATTTGCGGGTGTGAATGTCCCATATCATAACAGGTAAGGCACTGACGTGGTCATTTTGCAACTCTGTTTGCCTTTTTTCTGCTTTTTCCATTTTTTCCATCTTTTCCTGCTTCTTCCTAGGGCTCTTCTTCTTCTCTACCTCTCTTCATGTGTCCTCCTTATTCTTCAGTTTTCTCCTTGTTTATCATCTCTCTTATTCTTTTTTTCTATTTGTACTTCTAATTCTTACTTTTCCTCTTCTTTTCCTT